GCTTCTGTTTGACTGGCTTGTGTGCCGGGTCAACATGCAGCTTGTGCGTGATTATCTCGGGGTCTACCCCCGTCATTTTCATTGCGTTCCAAGCGAACACGTCTGCATTTTCCCTTAGGAACTCAATCATCTCCTCCTGTTCGGCTGCGGGCATCGCGGTCCCAACTAAGAAATATCTTTCTTCTTCTCCCTCCACCAAGGGCACCTTTCGGAGGTCCTCCACCGACCGCTCAGTTGGGTCTATCCGGGGTCATCCATTCCTGGACGCCCGGACTGTGATTGCTATTTCTCCATGATCTCTTCCGGGGCTCGCCCCTTTTCTTGGGTGAACCCCGGCTCTAACAGCTGAATAAAAATAATTTTTTGCGGACGCTTGGTCCCCCGAATCTCCATGATACCTTCTGGCGTGGTAAATTTTAGTTTCTGGTGGTAAGTGGAGTGCACCGCTCCCAACGCATGCAGCCATGTTCGCCCCATGATCACGTTGTAGGGAGAGTCCGTATCAATTACGACAAACTCGGTGTTGATGATGAAGGGATCCGTGACAACTGGCAATGTGATTTTGCCTACGGGCAGGACGAACGAGCCGTTGAATCCGATGAGGGGTGTCCTGACCTTGGTGAGGTCCTTGAGGCCAAGACCCATCCGTTTTAAAGTCTCGGAGTACATCACTTCCGAGGAACTTCCAGAGTCTATCAACACCCTTTTGACGTCGAATTTTCCTATCTTCAGGGTCAAGACGAGGGCGTCGTTATGAGGAGTCACTACGCCTGTCAAGTCCGCGTCGGAGAACGTGATGCTGGGCTCACCAGTCCTGGCCCTTTTACTGGGTGGCCCCCCATCATCCTCGGCTACCTTCCTTGTAAAAGCTACCCTCTTGAGGTCGGACTCGAGTTCCTTGGACGTGGGGCGATCCAGGGGACATACATGGATGACATCTATGACGTTGTCCGGCTCCTCGGTCGGGGCAAGGGTGTGTCTCTCTTCTGGCCTGGGCTCTATGTATTCTTTCAAGTATCCGTCTCGGACCAATCTTTCCAAGAACGATTTGTATGCCCTGCAGCTTTCGGTGCGATGTCCGAAATCCCGGTGATAGGAACACCTAACCTTTTGATCACGGGTGGAGGGATCGCTCTGCATCCTGGGCGCCACTTGAAGAACGGCTCATGCTTGATTTTATGGAGCAACTTGAAGATGGGTTCCTTGAACATAGTGTGAACCCCTTTGGACGAACCCCCTAGAGGGGGTAGCAATCCTTTCGGGGAGTATCTTCCCGCTCCCTCTCTTTTCTCTTAGGTTGGAGGGTTCGGCCTTTGTTGCTTCCCATCTCGTCCTCGATCCTTGAGTATTTGTTTATCCGGGCCATCAGCTCGCCCATATCCGAGGGAGTCTTCTTGGTCAGGGATCGGTACAGGTCCGTGTCCCTCGCCAAGCCGAGCCTAAAAGACGCCGCTGTCATGACTTCCGAGCAGCCTTCTACCTTATTTACCTCTTCCCAGTATCGAATGGCATACTGGCGAAGGGTCTCGGATTCCCTACGTCTGAGCGTTAGCAATGATCCAACGTCTTTAGGCCGTTTACTCCTGTAATGAATCGAGCTAGGAACTGCCTCGTCAATTTTTCCACGATCCAATACTGTTGGGGGGAAGCGCCTCGAACCACTTCATCGCAGAGTCCCCCAAGCTCATAGGAAACACTCGGCAGAGGAACCGTTGGTCCGAATGATAGAGGGACATCATCTGCTTGTATTGCCTGAGATGGACCTCGGGATCGGACCGCCAGTCATAAGTTTTGAACCTCGGCACGACAAACTTTCTTGAAACCTCCATCTCTCCGATCTCCCTGGTAAAGGGTGTTTGCATGACCTCGTCTTCGGCCTCATCCTGGACAGCCTTACTCTTTCTCCTGGATTTCAACCGGGCTCTGAGATCAATTTCCTCCCTGACGGGATGTCTTCTGAAGTCTTTGAGTTCATCAATAGGGCCCCCATTTCTTGGGCGCCGTGTGGATAGGGTAGAATCCTCCTCGGACTCATCTCCCTTCCTCCGTCTAGACAATCCTCGCCGGAGGTCGTCCAGGGCTAACGGTCTTGCCTTCCTTGAATGGTCGTTAGGAGGGCGTTCGTTTGCTCTCGGTCGCTTTGGGGCTCTGGAGCTTTCTGCCTTGTTGTTTAAATGATTCCTTAGATCCTTCATTTTTGCCTCTCGGCGGGGAGCCACGAGAGAGGAATGAGTCCCTCGACCCTTTGCCGGAGGCGGCAAATTCGTTGAGCCAGCTTAGGACGTTCACATTGTCCTTTTCCAGCTGTCGTAATCTATCGCCAAACTTTTATTCGATCACCTCCGCCAGCTGACGAGCCAGGGGGGCTGATCCTCCTGACCTGATTCCCATACTGGTTTGAGGGGTAACCCCTCTTGACTGAGTAGAGGCATTTTTATTCTCATCAGTGTGATCCCTTCCTCCGTGGTGATAGGAAGCTTGTAATTCGAGACTTTTTTGGTGGGGACCTTTCCCTTTTTGTCGAGTGTTCACCATGGTCACTGTTCTTTATAGAGAAAAAACTAGGAAAACTAGTCGTTTCCCACAGACGGCGCCAGATTGTGCGTGCTAGATTTCGCACAATATAAAAACGAGAACAGATCTCTCCCTTAGTGAACTCGAGCGAATCAGTGGAGTGGTCAACCACGCTGCTTGGAACAGCCTGTGAGATCCTGTGTTAACCTGGAACGGTAATGGGAGACCCTCATGGATCAAAGGAACGATCCAGTAAGGCTGAAGAAAGGTTCCTAGAACAAAGAAGAACAAGTTAGAAGGGCGCCAGAGTGTTTTCCGGCGTATCCCCTCCGACGATCAAGTCAGTCTTTGAGAGAGAGGAAGAAGAAAACACTGAGTATGTATTATAGCAAAGGTTTTTTGTTGCATACCGTCTTGCCTTTTGCAAGGAGTATTTATACCTCAAAAACTCATGATTGCTGTCAGTGTAGTCAGTAGATGATTATTAGGTACAGACAATGTGCGCACTGATTCTGATGAGGAATGTCTTCTCTTTTAACTGCTCGGGATCCCGAGCAATCAATACTGTGTCATCGGGCTGCCGACTGTTCAATGAGCTCCTCTCGGGGAGGACGCAATAAATGCCCAGCCTTAAAGACATTTATTGCCTTTCACTTCTGGGCCTTACCGCATTGAATGCAGTCTCATCAAGGAAATGGTGTAATTAAATGCTTGTTTTCCCAAGTCGCGTGTTAGCAAGGTCATGCGGTATTTCTGTCTCTGATGTGACACAATATGTCACGCGTCCATTCCTCATTGGCTGTGGCCCCTGCCTTCCTGTGCCTTCTGACACCAATTGTGTAAGACGAGGTCATGATAGCTAACCTAACCTAGCCTAGCCTAGGCTAGTGACCAGTGCATCAATAGCCTCTGCTGGAGCAGAGAACTTCATCCTGGATGAGAGGGGTACATCTCGGTACCGAGGAAGAGGTACATCTCAGAGCCGAGGAAGAAGTTCATCTCGCAGCCGAAAAAGAGGTACATCTCAGAACTGAGGAATAAGTACATCTTGAATCCGATAGAGGGAGGCCTAGCGACCGATGTACCATATCAGACCGAGGGTACGTGTCGGTACATAAAAAACGTACTGGATGCCACTCGATCCCATGATAAGTACCTTGGGGTAGAGGGGACTTGTGACTCGATGGGCACGTGATCTCGATAACAAGGATCAATGACACCGAGGACACGTGTCTTCATCTTGGAGTATTCCGGAAATGTCCCATCAAGAGGGATAGAGGTTTTGGAGGGAATGAGACAGAATGAGTGAGCATAACATGTTTTAGTGGAAAAAAATTAATAAAAATAAGTTTTGGGATAAAAAGGAAATATTTTAAAAGAATTGAGTAAATATTTGAGTTTATCTATTGAAGAGCTCCATACCAAATCAACCTTTTGACTCAAATTAATTTGAGTCTAAATTTGAGTCATGATTGAAAATGCTCTTATCAAACGAAGCATAAATGAGATTTTCACATTTGAGAATCAATTCAAGGTTTGAGAGGCCCTCTAATATATATATATATATATATATATATATATATATATATATATATATATATATATATATATATATATATATATATATATATATATATACTAGTTATTCCCTGTGCCTGAAAGCACAGAATAATAAAAAATGATAAACAATAAGAATATTTATATTAATATCCAAAATCAAATCACAAACATAGATAATAGATAAACAAATTTAAGCATAGATTTGTAGTGAGAGTGAGAGGTGGTGGACAGTAGTGGTGGTGGTAGGAGACAGTGATGGTTGTGGTGGGTGACAATGATCGTGGTGGCGTTAAGGGCGACAGCGATAGCGGTGGTGGGGGTGGCGGCGACGGTGGTAGTGGCGGCGGCGGGGTGAGTGGGTAGTGGTAGTGGTGGTGGTGGTGGTGGTAGAGGTAGTGGTGGAGCGAGTCAAAACAATATGTTTTTTTTTAAATATTTATGAGAAATAATTCCTATGAACACTTTTAAAAATTAATCCAAACACACTCTTAGGAGGCAATTTTTCCTATTGAATTTAGAGTTTTAATGTTAGCTGTTAGATTAACTTTAAAGTAAAATTTAAAGCGATCTTACCCGCGAATAACAAAAGTTATTTTGTTTATCTTTTGAAATTTGAATTGTAAACTATTTTATTATATAATACATATATTTTAGTATTTTTCTTTGTAGATTATTAGTCATGACTTCAAATATAACTTGATATAAATAAAGTGGGTTCCTTAATTATTACTTACGAAGAATGTGTAAAAAATAAAAGAAAAAAAAATATTAAAGAATTTTAATCCGTTTGAGTATCTCTCATTGCACATTTTGACTGGACAATATGATTGACTTCTATATCTCAAAGTATTTAAGAAGTGCTCGATAAGTGAAAACTTTGACATTACAAATGAACAATATTATACAATATAGTCCGTTCTGATATAATTATCCTTTTCTTACCATGGTAGTGTCATTAGCCTCCAAACATTGTCAGGCAATAAAACTAGTAGATTACTGGCAGATATTTAATTGTTGTTACTTAAGAACTGAGTAGATATGAATTCCATAATTCATAAAACTAGAATAAAAATATCCCCCCCTTTGGGATTAAGAATTTCCATGTTATATTCTATAATAAGCAAGAATCAAAATACAAGTTCATATTGTTCCCTTTCTGTTTTGTGTTAAATCCTAGTCATTCTGCCCGGATTTCCCATCCAATTCGTGTCCGTTTTCCTCAGGCTCGCAGAATCTCTTCCAGTACCAGTGCTTCTGCCACAGCAAATGTATCTCCTCGATCGGGACCTGCTTCGTTTCAGGCAAGAGGCAAGCGATGAAGGTGCTCATGATCACAATTAAGGCTGCGAAAAGCAAGAAAATGCCATATTTGAGGTGACAGAGAGACGCGAGGAAGCACTGCGCAATGAGGGCTGTGAAGATCATGTTGTTGCAGACCACCATGCTTTGGCCAGCTGATCTTGTTTCTAAAGGGAAGATTTCACTTGGAACTAGCCATCCCAGAGGTCCCCAAGACCTTCCATAAGCGAAAACGAAGAAGCAGATTACAATAACAAGTAAGACACCAATTCCTTTTGAGAGTGATTCTCCTTTGCCAAAGTTCACAGCCAGAGTTATGGCCACTATCACCTGCAGTTCAATTTTCAAGTGTATGAGTAAATGTCCAAACCAGTAACAACATGCAAAGGCCTAGCGCTGCAAATAAACCGAGCTAAGCCAAGCACCAGACTGTTCAGACTCACCTCATTTGTCCAAACCTGAGAAGAATGCATAGGGCTAACCTATTGCTGCAAACGAATCAAACTAAGAGTACTAGACTGTTCACACTTGGCTTGTTCATTCATGAACAATGTTCGGGCTTAGCTCAAACTTGACTCAACTAGTTTATTTTTTTTCCAAGCTCAAGCTTGACTTGACTCAGCTCATTTGACAAGATGAACCGATATCAAGCTTATGTTCGATCTTAAACTCAAGTCGAGGCTTGTGTTTAACATCAAGTTCGACTTGTTTACATATATGTACATACACTCACATATATTTTTAAAGAATGGAACAATGTTATATGTAGTTTTGTGCAGATAGATGATAAATGCATATAGTCTACATTTATACATGCTTAATGAAGACATAGTTTGATCAAAAAAATGAAGACATAGTTCAAGATCGATTTGTTTATTGAAAGAACTCCAAAATTCTGCTTGAGCCCAGTTTGTTTTGTTGAATGAACTCGAATGAGTTTTAGTACAAGCCGATTGTGAGCTGTTCGTGGATAATTCGGTTCATTTGCAATCATGTGCATAAGGAATGCTTAAGTGAACTTACCATGCAGACAATCATTTCAAAACCAGCTTCCAGAAAGAGCAGTCTTCTTCCTAACTTGTCAACAAGACCCATTGAGACGAAGGTAGCCAAAACAAGCGTTCCACTTGTTATGGTGGATGAATACAGAGATGCCCCTGAACCGAAGCCCAAGCTCTGAAATATGACCGGGGCATAGAACAGAATCGAGTTCATGCCAGTGAGCTGTTGGAATGCTGGGATCAAACCTCCAATTACCAACTGGGGACGGTTCTTCCGTGCAAACAGGTTCCTGAATGGGTGCTTTATGGCTTGTGCTGCTTTGCTTGCCTCAATAAGATCAGCAAATTCTGCATCAACTTTTGTGGTACCTCTAACTTTCTCCAACACTTTCCTTCCTTCGTCTAATCTGCCTTGTTCTACTAGACTGTTGGGTGTCTCTGGAAGAAAAAGTCCACCAACAAACATAAGAGTTGCTGGAACTGTGGCTAAACCAAGGGATAATCTCCATCCCCATGGATGAATCTTGTCGGCACCATAGTTTATGAAGTTGGCTATGAAGATCCCCAAACAGGTTGTAAGTTGAAACAGCTGATTAACCGCTCCTCTGACCTTTGCAGGTGCCATTTCTGAAAGATACAAAGGAACTGCCTGCACCACAAGAATGAGTAAAAGATAACATGATGAGTTTGATTTCGTTTCTTTTCGTTGTTGATGTAATGTGAACATTGGCTTACTTGGTTGCCAAATCCAATGCCAACGCCAAGGAGCATTCGCCCAATGATGAGCATCGCGATATTCTGAGCAAAAGCATTAAGGATTGCTCCTGCAAAGAAACTGATGGATCCACAAATGATGCTAGCTCTCCTGCCTTTATTTCTGGTTACATATGAAGCCCCAAAAGTGGAGAAAAGAGCCGCCAAGTATAGAGAGGATGTAAAGAGAGTTAGGACCTGATTGTCATATTTACAGTAATCTGTTTCTTTGAGATGTGCTTGTTTCCTTCGATACACTTTGGGGAAGAATTCCTTCAAGAAATCATCCATGGAGGTCACCCCACCTGAAACCACCATTGGAAGTTCAACTTCTACTTTGCTTTTTGATTACTACAAGCTTAGAAGAGTTGCTCTTACTTTCTGAATACATAAAAGAGGATTCGATTCTGTAATTTTTTTTTGTTTCTTCCATTAGGAGAAGTTCTTTATTATTACTATTATTTTTGATGAAGAGAGAATGTTGATGATGGTTGAGGAATGTGAATTTGGGAAGGCTAACTGTTTTATGGCTAGCAGCCTGCAAATCTATCTAATATTAGAGTTAAAAAGTTGAATTCTTGGTCAAGATTGATTCAATCTTTTATCTACTATACAAAATTCATCCAATTTGTTTTTGTCCGCTCAAAAACATAATTTTCTCCGCACATCTTTCTAATGTCAAATAACTCAAGACACTACTCAATGTCAAACAATTTCATCAATTCACACTTACTTCTCTTCTATCTCTTCCTTTTAATTTTAAATTGTGTAATTAAAAAAAATTACTATTTATAATATAATTATTACAAAACCAATATTGTAGTGTCTTGAGACACGGGATTATTGCTAGTATTCTATAAGATACAATGCAAACACTCCATTTCTCATTTGTTTTAGCATCATACAATGATTGTTAAAGTTCTTTAGCATTCCTGTTTTACTTTTTTTTTTTTCAATCTGTTAACAAAAACACAGAGAACAGACACAATTGGGCAACCAAACCGCAATAAAACCATGTTTGGCTGCACATGGGCTGAGAATGAAAACAAGACAGGTTTTAAAACAATATTCTTTGATGAAAAGAGGGGCAAATATCAAACAGAAGAGAATTTTTCTGGGGGAAATTGCAAATTTTTAGCCCTATTTGTTTCCTTTCTCTCTGGGGAAAAAAACCTTTCTTTTTGTCAACCACTTTTTGACTTATCATGGAGCAAAAGCAACACAATCATTTCATTAACATTAAATTCTTATTAACATTGATGCTAATGTGGGTTTATTTTTACTAATTAAAAATCTCAATAATTATATATCATTAACATTAAATTCTTATTAAAATTGAGGCTAATATGGGTTTATTTTAACTATTCAATAATCTCAATTTCATAATGATGATGACAATGATCATAGCAAAAGGTAGCTACTACAGTAGGATTAGAATCAAGCCAATAAAGATTAGTCTGACAATCCAGGCCACAGAATATGCTAAGACTCAATAGAATCCAAAAACACCCAGATCAGCAAAGTGGCTAAAACTCATAATCCAACGAGAAGAGGACAACAAAAAACTCACCAGAGACACCAAGATCATAGCCAAAAAGAGATCCTCCAAGAGCAGCAACAATGCAAGCAAAGATGAAATACCCAGTGATCCTGTACTCATAGAGATGAGCCCTTGCTCCACCATCTTCAACAAATCCTCCACCGGCCATTGCTCTACCCCTTTCAAGTGCTCTCTCTCTCTCAAAGAAACCAGAGCAACAAGAGTTGTAATCTGATATCAAATGAACCTCCTCCGTTGGTGTGTTTAAACTGTTGGGGCGTTTGAATTATAATCAGTTGCGATGACTGTAGATAGCCCCTCCCATTCGGAACACTGGTAAAATGGAGAACAGAGGTTGTTAGATATCTCCAGCTATTTAGTCAAAGGAGATCTAGATTAAGAGTTTTTGTTTTGTTTTGGTTAGAAAACAAAACACAATTTTCTTATTAGGGAAAATTACATGGACACCCCTTGACTAGTATCTACTAATTATAAGAAATATTTTATAATTCCTAGAATTATACTTACACCTCTGATTATATTTGTTCACCTAAAGTTGTCAATGAAGCTTTGTCTCGTCAATGTTGCCCTTTTTTCGTATTCTTGAAATTGAAGATTCTCTATATTAAAAAATTCTTAATAATTTTTTCGGGTATTATCTCACAAATACACATGTAGTCACCAAATGGTGATGTTGGTGGTTGTGTAATGTTCGATTTCTCTCTCTGCCACCGAGATGGATAATATTCGGAATTCTTATATGATTATGTGTGTGTAGTTAGTTGGTAGTCATTATATTTGTTTTGTCTATCGATCCTCCACCTCCCTTGAAGGGTATCCATTACGCACATAATCAAACTAAGAGAGTGAGTGTAACATACATATCAAAAATTATAATTATAAGAGTATCCGTCTTAATTACTAGAAAATAATTGAGGACATCACTGTAATTTCATCATTTTAGTATTAGTTCTTTCATTTCTTTGATCTTTTCCTCTTATTATTCTATTAGTGGCCAAAATTCAAGAAATGTCATAGTAAAAAATATATATTAAAACAAAGGAATCGCAACTACTACGTTTTTCATCCTATCATCGTCACGAGACCCAAAACAGTAACAAAAAAAAAATTTTAAATTTGATTTAGGATAAGTCAGTGCCACATCAGCATCAGCCTATAAAAAAGAGGGTTTATTTATTTATTGATCACAAAAAGATGGTTTATTTACTTTCCACTTTTTCAGCTACCCCAAAAAATGGTTCACACATACTAACACGGCTATGCATTTCCAATAAAAATTGGCGTAATTAGAGGGGTTGTGATAGTCACGTACCGTACTGCCAACTGATTATGCCCTCCTCTTGATGGAAAAAATATTTATCCCAATAAAAAAAAATGGATTTCATATAAGTCAATAATTAATTAGTTATGTAAATTAATACTGACATAATATTATCGTTACATTATATATTTTTTCATCTTGACGAGGAGTTATAGATAATTCAACGTGGAATGACACGGATAATGTGATACTTTTTTTCCCATTTTAGAAAATACGTATAAATATTTTGTTTCACATATGCAAAATAAGTATATCAGATAAGCATGGACGACTTGGGTTTGCCATAATTGAAAGATCCTTTATTTTTTTGAAATTGTAAAGATTTATCTTATTCTATTTAAAAAGCACCTTCAACTTTAAAAATTCAAAATAATATGATAGATCTTTACCCTTCAATCAAAAAGAATTGGAAAATCTTTTGATTATTTAAAAAATGAAATAGAGTCAAATTCGTAAAACTTATCTGAAAAAAAAAAGAACTTTTCACACAAAAACCCCAAGTTAAAATAAACTTCTAACAAACTTATCTATTCCTCTAAACATGCATTAGACTAGTGTCTAAGAATGATCCTATTATGAGATTCATACAAAAAATCTCCAAGTCCACTGAATTTATGTCCACCTTATCACCCTTATCTTTTTTTTTCCTGTCATTTGACTCTTATCATCCCAATTGTCAAACATTTTTGGTTGACTATTGAATTCAAAGCCCCTCCACGGCTCTATCTTATCCTTACCCTCACCTCTCATCTCCTACAAATATCAACCGTCTAAATTATTTTATTTGTAATGCTATTTAGTCTAAATTTACATAGAAAGTAATAAATTTGACAGTTCATGGAATATAATTGGACAATTGATTACAATCTAATCCATACCTGCAGCGGCGTCTCATTTTAACTTGAGCTTATTGTTAGAATATTAGTCCTTTGTTTAGATTAGGTAATTAATTTGTGGCAATCTATTAAATTAAAATTGGTAGAATCACCTTAACAATAATTCCATAAAAAAAAATAATAATAAGGGGTAATTTTGTCATTTTAATCTTATTCCGGATCATTCAAGATGAATTTTTTATTGTGTATTACATACGATTGATTTGTACGGTGTATTTAATAGACTCTATAACAATGGTCGATACTATCTCATATTATAAGATCGTGCCCGATAATATGTTCTAAACATTATATTAAATAATTATTAGGGGATTATGTCTTTTTTTTTTATAATTTTTTTCTAATCGCATAATGACATAGGCACACGGCTCTCTCTCTACTGTTGTGAGCATGCTTTGATTATTATTCTGACATCAGACATGTTCAGTTCATTGACTTCTGAGTCCTCTAATTTTTATTAATTACGGTTCCCACCACATTATTAATTAATAAATTATGGTATAATAGGGTTCAACTTGACAATTAAAGTATCGCAAATCACTCTTCAATAGGACAATTGCAGGAAGACAGGATATTATAATTTAAGTGGTTGGAATTGGACAACTTGCTACATTTGTCCCAAAAAACTCCATGCAACTTGGTCATAGGGATAACTATATGTATCACTACTCTACAATTTTACCACACGAGGAAGGCCTACAATTTTATTTTTCCAATTTCTAAGATTTTCACAAACACTACCAATATTCAATTAGTGGGCGAAATGGGATGTCGCCGCCCTTCTGTTAGACCTTAAGACCGTGAGTTTAATTTTCGTCGTCTCCCTTCAGTAATAGTTTTTGACCCAAAAAACTTATAATTTTAATTTGAAAGAACTCTGTGTTCGTGCCAGTTATAAATATTTGCAAAAGATTAGGTTAAATATTTTATGATTATTCAAAGCATGATGTTTAGTAAGATATATAAAGTCAAAGTGAAGGAGGTGTAGTATAATATCAGAAATTATAAGAATATATCCCTTGCAATTATTAGAAATATCATAAGATGAGTAATTTTTTGGTTTTATTATTAGGTCTTTTGTTTTTTTTTCTTTGTATTTATTATTCTTTGTGGTTAAACCTCAAAAATAATTTAATCAAACAGAGAAATCTAAAAAGGAAACGCCACGCCATCATCATAATGAAATAAAAAAAAATTGCACTTGAAGTTTTTTATAAGTGCCAGGTTATTTTATGGGTAAAGCTACGATACGATGCTAAAAAATAATTTAGACCCTTAATTTTGATTTGAATGACTTCTAATCGTTGATAAAAAAATTAATAAACAAAAATGCATACGTGATGCATTTTTAATTGTTAAAAAAAATGAAGGTTTAGTACCGAAAAATACATTTAAATTTTTTTTTTTTGGTGTTTAAAATCTTCCATTTATCCGCCCCTTATAATTGATATAGATAATGTGTTACATTAAATGAAGCCAATCCCAATAACATGATCTGACCAATAGTGGGGCACTAGCACTTCTTAAAGATTTGTTCTGTTCCATTGAGCTTCAGAATGGTTCAGTTCAAATCAAAGTCGAACCCTATTTTCTCTGTCACTTGTGTCTTATCCTCCCAACTGTCAAACGTGTGTGGCATTCCATTGACTATTGAGTTTCGTATTCTTCTATCTTATCTCAACCGATGGAGATTCTTTTCCATACATTTTCTCTTTAATTTTTTTTTTACCCGATCATCTATAATGCAATTCAAGTGGAGCCTATTGTCCAAAATAAATTCCTTACTCATTAACGGTGGATAATTTGTTGAAAAGAAAATATATTAAAAGAGATCTGAATCCCAAGTATCCAACATCAAATATCGTAACCAGAACCCTGTATGTAATAGAGTCGAGGTGCAACTTCTTTCCTATCCAAAAAAATCGATGGTTATTATTAATTTTTTTGATTGGGTATCATAAAAATTACAATCGAATGAATAATGAGTTTAAAATTATTAGTTGATACAGTCGCAAAATTTGAAATCAATCCCAAAGGTCTAGAGGGATATAGGGATAGTCATAGTTAATAATCATCTAATTAGAAGAAATTCTCACACATTTGAGGGAGTGATAGTGCCTTTCCAATCTTTCTAGATCATCCGTCATTGGAAGTGTTGCACGGGAAGATTCCTGCAATGAATAGGGATAGCGATTCGCTAAATGATGTACTTGAAATAACCAAAAGGTCAGGAAAGGGCTGGATGAATACCCGACTGATCCCTTTCGAGCTCAGTTTAGTTTGTGTATATTTGTTCATCTTTTTGAGGGGTATTTATATTTAGACTAGCAATGAGTGTAGGGGTTTTGAGTCCCACTTCGACATTTAATGACTTGCACTCTTATTCAAGCATAATGAGTGTTCTCCACTCAGATTCTCATGACTGATTTACTTGGGCGATAGGGTAAGTGCTCGGGGCATGCCGAGCACTTATGACCCTATCTTCGGTCATTTAAGTATCTCTGATCGGTGCTTGAAACTTATTCCCGAGTGTTTAATGCTCGGGAATAGTACATCGGAGTTTCCCGAGGACATCTGGTCGGTGCAATAATCATTAATGTTTTGCAATGATGATTGTCAGTTTGGGTCTTGAGGACACATAGACTCATTAATAGCCCTGTCAAGTCACCCAATTCCTCATTAATGAGCAGTTACGTCATCTTTAATGCTGGGTTCAATTAGTTACCCTCGGCTTCTCTGGGCTATTACTCCTTGATGCCTTCTCCTGGTGCCTTTTGAGTTCCATAATAGCTACATCTATCCACATGTCAGCTTTGGGACTGCTGAGCCACCTAATGTCCCGTCAATTGCCCCTAGCCTCCATTTTTCATGTGACGTGGGACAAGTGGTGCACAGAGAGTGGAGGTTTCTTGAGCACGCCTGGATCATAGGGGCGGTTTATTTGCATGTCTGGCGCCGCACTTTTTAAGTTTTCACTTGATGATCTGCCCCTTCGATTCTTGCCCCTACTGCAATGTATAAATAGGAGGTTGTCTGGCTATTTACAGACTTTGAATCCTCGAATCCTTGATCAACAATCACTTTCTGAGCAAGCATCTTTAACCTCCCGAGCGATCGTTTTTACTCCCTCGAGCACTCCTTTCGAAGATCTTC